GTTCATAGCTCCCCTTCTTTGGCTGAGGTTTGCAAGGAGCATGATACATGCCAGATCCCTTGACCCGGTGAGTCACACCTACGGGGTGGGTCATGTTTCACCAGCTCGATCCAATACAGGCTAGGTCACCACCAAGCTAGGTGAGAACAACCTAGGTAACTCAGAACCTAGATTAGTCATCAGCTAGGCACATCAAGGGTTAGGGTAGTATAGTCTAAGCCAGTCACAGTTTTAACCAGTTCGAGGCCACGTTACTAACTGGATAAGTTACTCATTGTTTATATCAATCATTGGCTGGCTAGAATCTAAATCACTCGTTGGCCAGGTCACTCACTGGCTACTTCCGTCGAAAGTTAGGTCAATTGGAAGCGAGCTCTTTTGCAAGCTAGGTTAAACACACAATAGGTCAGTTGAAGGCTACGGCAGTGCTAAGGTAGATCAGTCACTGGCTGGGTCCATCATAAGCAACGCCGAATACAGGTTTGGTCACTTACAAACTACGTCAGACAGACACAAGCTAGGTCAGACACAAGCTAGGACACTCACTCACAAGCTACAGCAGACACAACACAAGTAATCGGTCAGAGTCAGTCCACATAGACAGGGACACTCACAGTCTAGGCCTTTGATGGCATAGGTCGGTCCCACGAGAGGTCAAGCACAAGATAGGTCTGACACAAGTGAGGTCAGTCATAAGATAGACTGGTCACGGGCTCACAGGTTAGGTCAACTACGAACTAGGCCTGTCAGGCACAAGCTACGTTAGTAGTCATAGGCTGGGCCACTCACGACAACCCGGGTCGGTCGGTCACATACATGCAAGGTCAACCACAGGCCAGCCAGGTTAGATGCGAGCAGCGAGTCATGCTTTGACTCGACTCGCCCAATTCAGGTGTGTCGAGTGGCGTAGATTGAGTTTATTCTTCTATTGGAAATGAGTCGAGTCGAGTCGGCTCAATCTAATGGCCAATGCACCGCCTGTCTGGATTGAGTCAGCAAGGACCCCCCAAATCGTAATTTGACGAGATGCAGCTGACTCGTCGGTACTCGAGTAGGTTGTCACAGCCCAAGCACTTACATTGGGTCACGAAGAGCGAACGTTCAGAAACTGGATCTTGCAAATTCAAGATCCAATCTCCGTATTAACTCCTCTTTATGTTTCCAAACAATCCGACTTGAATCGGTTTCATTAGTGGCAAGGATCCACCTTAGATCGTCTTCCATTCACTACCTTAGTGCTGCCAAGCAACCTCCTTCGGGTCGTTTCTACCTTAGCACCGCCACGAAATCCATTTTAGCTCGTAGTAGTGGTTCTTGACTGAAATGAGAAACCATTCTCTAATGTCTCAAACATCAGCAGAATCGACTTACATGTTCATCATTACTGCGACTAGAAAGGCACAGTACCAGATCAAGTCAACCTCGACTTCTGAGTAGGTTTGAGTCCGGCCTGACTCGAACCTAAACCAGGGTAGGGGCGACATTTGCCCCGACTTACCTCGGGGTTAATTGACTCGTCTCGCGCTGAGACTGAGCAGACTCTACTGCACATGTCTAGGGCCACAGGCTAGTCACAAACCATGTCAATTACAAGCTATGTCTGTCAAGTTGGGTCAGTCACGGCAAGATCAGTCACAGGCTGGGTCAGCGGAGGCTGCGTACGTGACAGCGTGAGTGTCTGAACCAGGGCGAGGAAACACAGCACGGGAAGGGGCCGGGGCAACAATGAGAGCCTAAGCCAGTTCGAGCCTAGGTCAATCAGAGCCTAGGTCAATCAGAGCGTATGTCAATCAGAGCCTAGGTCAATCAGAGCCTAGGTCAATCAGAGCCTAGGTCAATCAGAGCCTAGGTCAATCAGAGCCTAGGTCAATCAGAGCGTAGGTCAATCAGAGCGTAGGTCAATCAGAGCGTAGGTCAATCAGAGCGTAAGTCAATCAAAGCGTAGGTCAATCAGAGCGTAGGTCAATCAGAGCCTTGGTCAATCAGAGCTGAGGTCAGTCAGAGCCTAGGTCAATCAGAGACTAGGTCAATCAGAGCCTAGGTCAATCAGAACCTAGGTCAATCAGAGCCTAGGTCAATCAGAGCCTAGGTCAATCAGAGCCTAGATCAATCAGAGCCTAGGTCAATCAGACACTAGGTCAATCCGAGCCTAGGTCAATCCGAGCCTAGGTCAATCCAAGCCTGGGTCGATCCGAGCCTAGGTCGATCAGAGCCTAGGTCGATTTGAGCCTAGATCAGTGACAGCATGAATGAACCTAGACAAAAAAAATAGCAGCAGGGGAAGGGCGGAGGCTGCCAATGCGGTTGATCACAGGCTTGGACGGTCATCGCCCGGGTGATCGACAGTGTGAGCGTCTGAACGAGGGCGAGGAAACACATGCAATAATGCTACGAGGGGCTAAGAATGCGTCAAGGGGTTCTGCTGGTCGTAAGCGACGGTATGTAACTAAAAGTTGCAGATCGGTCTCTGATACAACAACGAGCACCGTGACTCGTAGGCTGTGAGGCGCTGCCTTGCAAGGCTCAAAATGCGGAGGTCCGGGGAAACGATAGGGGGGCTCACTCTGATCAGAGTTTCGTAGACTATCAGGTTCCCGAGGCCCTCGAGGCGACTGAGCAGCGGCGCGAATTGATTCGATTTGCAGTGCGTGCTGAGTAATGGCGAGGCTTCACGATTTCGACGGGCAGGAGGCAAAAAAGACGGGCGGGCCAGGAAAGGTGACGAGAGGACACGATGCGCGGAAGATAAAACGAGTGGCAACGACGGGATGGCGCAGCCGATCGTACTGGTTTCGTAGAGGCGATTCGAGCCACCTCTTCTTACGATGGAAAGATAGCGCTCTTAGAATTTACGACTACAATACCTCATGACTCATGACACACTAGTTGACACGCAGCTCGAGGTGGAAGGAAATATAAGGAACGAGGTTCAGATTATCACTAGTGCTGGAATCTTGAGTTCGACACCTGATTTGCCTTCCATAACACTCGCAATGGCGTTTCGTAGCAGTTACCACCCCGTTTTCTGGAATAATTTGTTCGCAAAACGGTATGTTCCGCCACGTGCCGTGTCATTCTCTGTTCGCTCAAGCAAAGAATGTTCAATTTACGAATTTGAGGCGACACCAAACCAAATCCAAAGCTCCTGCTCTCACCCGTTACACACTCAAATTCGCATTCCAGAAACAACACCTTTTCTCGTTCGCGCGGTATCTGTAACCCTCTCATTCGTGTTCAGCACCTTGAATCCTCTCTGTGGAAATAGGCTAGTCTGGTAACCCAGCAACAACGAGGGAATCCAGGCCATGCGGATACTACCTACAAGTCTTCCAAGTGTGGCGTTATCATGAGCGCACACTGTTTCACATCTGGCTAGATTTCACAACTCGAGCTATCTAGTTGTTCTCGCCGTTTCACCCCTCGCTCTCACTATATTGTTTCAAAGCCATCGCATTCACTCAAGTGGTATTCGCTGTTTGCGGAGCTAAGATTAACGTGAAAAACCCTAGAAACAGGTAGGCTGGTACCGTCATAATTTTTAACTTCCGCCTCGCACACGAGCTCTACATTTCCCTCCTTTAGCCGATGCTTTGGAGTCCTTTGATGCTCCCTCTGTCTCTCTAACATCGCGCCTATGCCTCCCCACCGTCTCCATTCCAAGTTCCCAGAGCCTATCCCAAAAATGAAAAACTCGCAAACAGTTGGTTGGTCATGAATGGACGCGAATTCCTTGCCCTTACCATTTGTTCAACTGACGCCAAAAGGCTGACATTGCTTGTAGTGACGGACATTGATGCAAACCCATCACCACACATCCCTGTCCTTTGTTATCATCTCTGTTTCGATTCCCACTATTACACCCTCGCGGCTTCTTTTACTATGGAAAGCGCTAGAGCAGTAGCTTGCATTTCTCGTACCCAACCCTCTCCTAGTTGCACCTCCGTTTTCTGGTTCCACTGCACAGATCGGATGTAGCCACGGCGAGCAGGCGGGTATTCACCTCGTTTTGATAAGGGCAGAGAAACCGAACTCGTGAGGTGAATGACGAGCACAGAGATAAATAGCATGGACTGACCAGGCCTCTCTCTCTACACCTTTCTTCCCTTCAGCATGTCCCATTATGCCTCCATGTGGGACGTGCATATCTTCATCCACCTCTCACCACACTCAAAATGCATCTCCTTCACCATCTCCTGTCACCCTGCTCTGCTCTCTCGCTCTCAACAATGCTTGCCTCTGGCCACTTCATGCCTTCTCCTCTCCCACCTTGTCTCTCCACTTCCCATTACATCACCTTTCCTCTTCGCCATTCTCCTACCCAGGTTGCCCACTGAATCTTCGCCGCACCTTCACTCGGATGTTTCTCCTCCGCCGCCTGAGTGGCGTTATGGTTTGCCTTGTTCGACTAACAAGGTGTGGCGAGTATTACTCACATTGAGTACCTGCCGTGTCTGTCCCCCTTCGCCATCAGCACCACGCACTGCGGATCGTCTGACTCCTGGCCGCCGCTGCTGAGTCACTCCACGACGAAAACACGACAGTTAACAAGACCCTAAATAAAGGTACGCATTTTGACCCTTCGGTTCGGTCAATACATAAGCATCCCTAACATCTCCACAACATTGGCCTTCCACATGTAACATGGTAATGTGTGACCTTTTCTATATGCTGAGTGACCTTACGGATTCAGCACAACGCCAAGACACATTGTTGCACTTTCCCCTCAACACATTGCTAGCCTGGACCCTACTAAGTGTTGTTTTTATTCTCCTTGACTCATTCACCTTGCTGTCACAGACCTAGGCTCTCACTGATCTAGGGTTTGCCTGACCTAGCCTGCGACTGACTGACCTAGCCTGTGAGGAGCTTTGAGAAGAAAAAAACTGTCTTCAATTTCTCCTCTTGGCATCCCCTGACTTGTTCTACTGCCACTGCCTTCATGCCAAATGCATGAGCGTAGTGTGGTGGACAAGCCTCTCCTCTCACTGCTTCGTCCAGCCATGTGCTCAATCGAAACTTTTGTCGCATCTTGTCATCGAGTCTTCCTCTTCTGCTGCTCCTTATTCCCTCCTTACTTGCATCACTGCCTCGTGTCTCATGCCTGCGTAATTGGTATTGTTCGTGTATGCGCTGACGATGCCGCTTCTCATTCTTTTCTCTCAACTCAAGAGACTCAACCCAGCCTCACCCCGGCTTGTCTGCTTTCGCACTTTGCAGTCAATAAACGAGGTCGTTTCGGGGTAGTCAGTGGATGAAATGGCTCCTAAGAGAGTGACGCGGCCACGGATTGAAGAGGTCAAAGAGGCGGTGTTGGCAGCATTGAGAGAGGGGTCGGTTGCACACAAGGGGGAGGTGAACAAGCTGCGCCAAATGCTGAATGTTTTGAAGAAAGATAACAAGACGACTGCTGCTGTGATGGAGGAGAGGGAGAGACGGCTGGAAGCAGTGAACGGGGAGTTGGCATCTGTGAAAGAAGAGTTGGCATCGGTGAAGGAGGAGCTGGGAGCGGTGAAGGGAGAGGTGGGAGCGGTGAAGAGGGAGTTGGCGGAACAGGGGGTCGCCATGGCAGAAAAATTGGCTGAGAGTGGTAGGGCATTGGGTGTGAAGGGGCTGAATGGGAAGAGGAAAAAGAGGAGGCTGGAAGGGAGAGAGGAGTTTGCACGGGAGGAGGAGAGTAGGGAGGTGCAGGAGATGGATCGACCACGTGTCGTGGAGGATTCGGCGGCCTGTGAGAAAGGGCGGATGATACAAGATTTGGAGCTGGATGTTGAGCTGCAAATCAGGCAGAGTGAAGGCGATCGGAAGATGGCATGGGAGGTGAGTGTTGAGTGAAGTGTTACACAGTGCATGCTTGGTTGGACAGGGCATGCATGGTTGACAGGGCATGCATGGTTGACAGGGCATGCATGGTTGACAGGGCATGCATGGTTGACAGGGGGCATGCATGGTTGACGAGAAGACAGGGCATGCATGGTTGACGACAGGACAAGGCATGCATAATTGACAGGCAAAGCATGTTTGACAGGGCATGCATAAGTGACAGGCAAAGCATGTTTGACAGAGCATGCATAAGTGACAGGCAAAGCATGTTTGACAGGGCATGCATGTTTGACAGGGCGTGCATCTCAAAAATCCCGAAAGGGTTTTCGGTATGCGGTTTTCCGTTCCGCAAACAGTAGGCGAAATGAATCCCCGTATGGCAAGTAAATGTGTACTCTATAGTTACCATAATTGGTTTAGCATGTAAAACGCTACTGTAAAACGATTTTGTATATGCTAAATTTATATATTTCCTCCTACTTGCTTGCAAATGTTCTCAGATTGAGCTAATCATCAGGAAAATGTGAAACTGCCGAGTATGGAGGGGGGGGGGAGATAAGCTGTTTCAAACAATTGAGCAGCTAAAATTGTGCAAGGATGTGTCTGTCCGCCACGTGGTGCCAAATTATCGTATGTTTGTCGTTTTAAACGATGTTTCTTTTAATCATTCAAGCATTTACTATGTTGTGAGCGTGGTGGAAAATATTTGGTGTCATTCGCAGCATCTGGTAGGAAGATATGCCGTTTCAAACAATTGAGCAGGGAAAATTGTTCACAGATAGGCCTGTGCGCAACATGTCACTGTTTCAACCTTTGGGTGTTTTGTTTACCTCTATTTCTTCTCAAATTTCCCTATTACATCCTATTTCCTTTACATAGGAACTGGTTTGAGCTCGTTCGCACAACCACGCAGCACGTGGCGCATGTATGTGCGTTCCATGATGAATCTGTGGAAGGATAGGCATGTACGCAACATGTCAGCTCGCCAACGTCTAGATGCCTTTTATACCACTATTTATTCACATAGTTCCCTAATATATCCTATTCCCTAGCCATACGAACTGGTTTGACCTCGTTCGCACAACTGCGTAGCACGTGGCGCATGTTTGTGCGTTCCATGGTGAATCTGTGCAAGGATAGGCCTGTGCGCAACATGTCAGCTCGCCAACGTCTGGATGCCTTTTTTACCACTATTTCTTCGCACAAGTTCCTACTACATCCTATTCCCTAGCCATAGGAACTCGTTTGACCTCGTTCGCACAACTACGCGGCACATTGCGCATGTTTGTGCGTTCCATGGTGAAACTGTGCAATGATAGGCCTCTACGCAACACGTCAGCTCACCAACGTCAGGATGCCTTTTTTACCACTATTTCTTCACACAGTTCCCTACTACATCCTATTTCCTAGTCATAGGATTTGGTTTGACCTCGTTCGCAAAACTACGCGGCACGTGGCACATGTTTGTGCGTTCCATGGTGAAACTGTGCAAGGATAGGCCTGTACGCAACATGTCAGCTCGCCAACGTCTGGATGCCTTTTATACCACTATTTATTCACACGGTTCCCTGATATATCATATTCCCTAGCCATAGGAACTGGTTTGCCCTCGTTCGCACAACTGCGCAACACGTGGCGCATGTTTGTTCGTTCCATGGTGAAACTGTGCGGGGATAGGCCTGTACGCAACATGTCACCGTTTCAATGTCTGGGTGTGGTTCTTACCTCTATTTCTTCACAAATTTTCTTAGTACATCCGATTCCCTAGCCATATGAACTGGTTTGACCTCGTTCGCACAACTACGCAGCACGTGGCGCTTGTTTGTGCATTTGCTGGCCTGAAACTGTGTAGGGATAGGGTTGTGCGCAACATGTCACTGTTTCAACGTCTGGGTGTTGTTTTTACCTCTATTTCTTCACACATTTCTCTAGTACATTCTATTCTCTAGCCATCGGAACTCGTTTGACCTCGTTCGCACAACGACGCAGCACGTGGCGCTTGTTTGTGCATTTGTTGGCCTGAAACTGTGCAGGGATAGGCCTATGCGCAACATGTCTCTGATTCAACATATGGGTGTTGTTGTTACCTCTATTTCTTCACAAATTTCTCTAGTAAATCCTATTCCCTAGCCGTAGAAACTGGTTTGACCTCGTTCGCACAATGACGCAGCACATGGCGCTTGTTTGTGCATTTGTTGGCCTGAAACAGTGCAGGGATAGGCCTGTGCGCAACATGTCACTGTTTCAACGTCTGGGTGTTGTTTTTACCTCTATTTCTTCACACATTTCCCTAGTAAAACCTCTTCCCTAGCCATAGGAACTGGTTTGATCTCGTTCGCACAACCACGCAGCACGTGGCGCTTGTTTGTGCATTTGCTGGCCTGAAACTGTGCAAGGATAGGCCTGTGCGCAACATGTCAATGTTTCAACGTCTGAGTGTGGTTTTTACCTCTATTTCTTCACACATTTCCCTATTACATCCTATTTCCTAGCCATAGGAACTGGTTTGACCTCTTCACACAACTACGCAGCTCCCGACGCTTGTTCGTGCGTTTGCTGGCCTCAATCTGTGCAATAATAGGCATGTGCGCAACATGTCAGCTAGCCAACGTCTGCATGCATTTTTTACCACTATTCCTTTGTTCAAAAGAGAAAATACAACTCTCATAAAGCTGATGCATCGACTTATGTGACCAGTAGGGCTGTTAACATGTTTTACCGGATCTTAAACACAATTGACTGTATATGTATTAGTGATTACTCATATAAGGTTCCGCATGTGTATGATATTGAATACAAAGATTTCATTCATGGCCCTTTTTATTATTTGGGAGTTTATTTGCTATCATAGACGGGGATTTTTTGTCAGAACATTATAGTTTATGCATATTGTGTAGGCTATAATGGGGTAGCCCGTAAGGGGTACAACCCAATTAGGGTAAGTACTTGTACCCAATTCATTCATAGTTCATCCATTCTCGTTTCTTCTCATGGTATCGAGCAGGTTCCCTAACGGGAACGATTCCTAGGGCCCACCACTACGAATTTTTTTTTTCCTACCCGGAGCGCGCTCCGCTTAGGCCCGAGTCGCGCCTCGTGTGCATTCCTTACCGTCGCGTCCTCGCTAGGCCCCTCACGGCCCCGTCGCGTCGCCCTTAGCGGCCCCTAGAGGCCTCGTCGCGTTGCCCTAGCGGTCGCGTCGCGCCGCCCTAACGGCCGCGTCGCGCCGCCCTAACGGCCGCGTCGCACCGCCCTAGCCGCCCTCACGGCCCCTTAGCGGCCTCTCGCGGCCCCGATCCGCCGCCCTTACGGCCTCGATCCGCCGCCCTTTGCGGCCCGTCGCCGCTCTCACCCTGCGGCCCCTCGCCGCCCTTTTACCAGCGGCCCCGCAACCTCCCTGCGGCCCCGCCACCTACCCGCGGCCCCGCCACCTACCTGTGCGGCCCCGGCGCCTACCTGCGGCCCCGCCACCTACCTGCGGCCCCGCCGCCTACCTACGGCCCCGCCACCTACCTGCGGCCCCGCCACCTACCTGCGGCCCCGCCACCTACCAGCGGCCCCGCCACCTACCTTCGGCCCCGCCTCCTCTGAGCAGCCCCGCCGAAACGCCCAGCAGCCGAGCCGCCCAGTCGCCAAGCCGCCCAGCAGCCGAGCCGCCCAGCAGCCGAGCCGCCCAGCAGCTGAGCCGCCCAGCAGCCGAGCCGCCCAGCAGCCGAGCCGCCCAGCCGCCGAGCAGCCCAGCCGCCGAGCCGCCCAGCAGCCGAGCCGCCCAGCTGCCGATCCGCCGAGTCGCCCTGCAGCCGAGCCGCCCGAGCCGCCCTGTCCGATAAAAGCAGCGCCACTTTCACAGCACTGCCCTCACCCTACTGTTTGCGCTACTAGTCTACTGCTGTCATGGCTACCCCTAGTGTCCTTGCTTTTGACGCTGAGGGTCGGGCCATTGACTTTGACGTCTGGATAGATGACCTGCAACTTATCTTACAGTGCGATAGGGCAGACGGTCTCTCTCTCTTTGACCTCACCTCTGGCGCCTCTCCTGCCCCTGCTGCTAATGCTGACGCCACTGTTCGCTCACAGTGGGCCACGCGCGATGCTGTTGCACGTCTTGCTGTGCGTCGCCACCTGCCTACCTCTGAGCGTGCGCACTTTAGCCAGTACAAGAGTGCTCAGACCTTGTACGACGCTGTAGTTGCACGCTACTCCTCCCCTGCCACTACTGCACTGAGCTGCCTCATGCTACCGTACCTCTTTCCTGACCTTACTGCCTTTCCCACAGTCGCTGACCTCATTACGCACCTCCGCACTAGTCACACTCGCTACCGCGCTGCGCTTCCTGCTGAGTTCTGCGCCAAGAACCCCCCCCCCATGTACATCACTCTCTACTACATAGTCACCCGCCTCCCTGACTCCCTTCGCATAGCCAGGGACCACTTCCTCTCAGTCTGTCCCACCACTCTTACTGTTGACCTCCTCGAGAAGGCCCTCTTAGCAGCGGAGAAGAGCATAGTCGCTGTAGGAGCCTCTCGTGGTGACCCGCACACCCCCATCTTTGAGGGGTGTTCCCCCTCCCCTCTTTTGCCCTCTGTTGCCTCTGCTGATGCGACCGACCTCGTTGGGCTTGAGTCGGTCGGTGCGGCGTCTACCCCTAGCGGGAGACGCCGCCCTGGCAAGGGCAAGGGGAGCATGGGCGCTGGAGGAGCTAGCGAGGGCGGTGGAGGCGGCGGTGGAGGCGGCGGAGGGGGTGGGGGTGGTGGAGGGAGTGGTGGCGGGGGTGGAGGTGTTGGCGGCGGCAGCGGAGGCGGCGGCGGCGGTAGCGGTGGGAGCGGAGGTGGTGGAGGTGGCGGAGGTGGAGGTGGCGGAGGTGGAGGAGGCGGAGGTGGAGGAGGCGGTGGCGAAGGCGGAGGAGGAGGAGGTCGTGGCTCTTCGCAGAGGAGTGGCTCCGGTGGTGGTCAGCGCCAGCAGCAGCAGCGTAGTCGGGAGACCCTGTCCCCTCAGCAGCTCCGTGAGTGGTA